TCTCACATCTCGTTAACATAACTTCGGGCTGAAAAATCCAGTGGTATGAATTCGGTCGTGGACGGATGAGTGATGACAGCTAGTGGTTGGTGCTTGTTCTCCACCATTCGGGAGTTGTTGAACTTCTTGAACATGAGGTTGGGGGCGACGATGTGCAACACATGTTTCAGGTCGTAGTGGTGCTGAAGTTTTATTTAATGACCAAACCCGTATTATCCTCATGTAATCACTCCTGTCAGATTGTCTTCCGTCGTCGTTGTTCATCTCTCTTGCCATCAAACAAGGGGCCCTCTGCAAGCCTAGGAACATTTTGAAATCCAAAATACACACTCATATGCCAAGCAAAACTAAATAAATCAATTATGATATAATTAAATTTAACTCAATGATTTTACTATGATCAGTTAAAGAAAATATTATAAACATAATATTTATAATTAAATATTGAACGATGTACAATCTTATAGAATTTATACATGTCTACGTTGTATATTATTTTATTATACTTTGTCCAGTTGTCCTAAAATATATTGTGAACCGACGTAGGCGATCTTAAGCAGTAGGGTGCTTTGTTTTGTATAGCTCCGAAGGTCGGGTTCCCGGAATGCTATTATAGACCCAAGAAAATCGTGACGTACCGATTGGCCGACAAATCAATTCGCCGACACACTATATTATGATGAATTACTTGAATAACTGAATAACTTTATTATGTTTTAGTAACTTTTTACAAGTCAACTATTAATACTATAAATTAACATTATAAGCTTCTGTTTTCTAAATGAAAATGAAACATTATATTATATTATATTATTACCTTTATTTCAATTGTAATATATTATCGTTATTTTACGAGATTTCGTAAAAAATTAAATTTCATACGCTTATAAATTTTTTTCTATATTGACGCTGGAATTTTTTGTTACAGTTACTTGAAGGAAAACTTATGGATAACCTTGTATTAGATTTTTGAACCGTAAGTATAAATCACAAACATTTTATGAATTTTCAACTTCAAAAATCATTGCAAATTTTAGCGGTTTTGATATATTTCATAAATATTTGAACTTTAAATGCTTATAAACAAAAAATGTGACTAACGATTTTCGATTTTTTTTTTACTACGATGAATTCAACTTTTTTTTCGATAGCCAAATTTTTTTTATCGGTATTTTAAGAAAATAAATTTAAAAAATCAAAAATTTCAACTGTCTATAATTAGCTTAAAAACATTCTAAATATTTTGAAAATTTAATCATAAATAGATAACGCTAATAAAAACATTTGGTGAAAATTTCAAGTATTTTCAATGATTCGTTTTTGAGTTACAGCAAAATCAAAAAATCGCTCAGAAGTTATAATTAACTAACTAACCTTACCTAAGTATAGTGCTTATCAAAGTACATAACTGAATAATTTATTATTATTCCACACGATATACCCTTTTAATAACTAAAATGTTCAATAATTTATGAATACGAATTGTCAAATAAAAATTAATAAATAATAGTTAATATTTGTTTATTCCTACACGTAAACTGCAGTATTAAATTCTCAGTCCTAAATGTCCAATCAAAGAAAATGGTCGAAAATATAAATAATTAGAAAATGCCTAAAAATGCCTGAAGTTGTATGCTCTTATTAATTTTTGTTTTCAGATGCACCCTTCAAATAAACCAATAAAATGGGAGTACTATTCTAATATTTTCAAGATTGAAGCTAATTCAATTCTTAAAGTATGCCCAAAGCTTACTAAGAATCATTTTGAGCTTAATAATCTTTCAAAAATGAAAGTGAAATATGAAGTTCAGGTAAAGATGTATAGTTAATTTGTAATAATAACATTAATTAGTAATTATAATATTACATAGTATCTATTCTGATGTTATATCTATTAAAAACTATAATAATAAATTTAAATACCTACCTACCTAAAATATTTATACCCACCTTAGATTATTAATGAATTCAAAGTAATCTTTACAAATAATTATCCTTTATAGTTATTTAGTATGTCAGTAGCAAATGCTATGGAATTTTATAAGAAAAAAAAAATTGAAGGTTTTAAGGACTGTGAAGATACTATTAAATTTACAGTTATGGTCAATGATATGTTTGATGCTGTCAATAGAAAATTCCCCGCTGAAGGGATTAGAAAAAATAGCAGAGACTTAGAGGTTTTTTATATGTTGTGTGTTTGTGTTGTGACTAGTGGCTTATGTGTTATATGTTTGTGTATAGTTAGGCACCTTATAGGTACCTACTTAAGTATTACTTAATTGTTATGTTGTATTATGTTGCTTCAACAGTGGCTTTACTAAAGTATGGTATTAGTAAGGGGTATAAAATGGTATTGGTATTAATTTGTATGATGTTTAGGGTCAACACTTGATAATTGCTCGGGTCTCAAATTTATAGTTGCGCTATAGCTATACTTTTTTAAAATTAAATGTTATAATTACCAAATTATATTCAAAATTATTGTATATAATGTTTCATTTTTTTATTACGAGTTGTTGAAAGAAGCATTTGTTTGGATAAACAGCTGGGAATCAAATTTAAATAATAATTATATTGAGAAAAATGATTTTTTGACTTCAAATACTGCCGAGGGTTTAAAAAACACTTTAAAATCTACACTTGATGCAGTCCATTATCTACGGTATGAAAAAGATTTCGCATATGTACTGACATCTAAATTTAACCAAGATTGTATGGAAGTAAATATTAATTAAATTAAATAATATAAAGTATATACTTACATCATCTTGATTCTAGATAATGATTTCATCAAAACTAATATTTATTTTACAGACATTTTTTGGAATTATACGGCAAGTGGCTGGTCCAAACGACCATCCTTCTTGTCCTTCTTTCCTCCAACTTTATAGAATGCTTTCAGTATTCTCAGTAATTAAACCTCCTAAAAGCGGGAATTGCATGATATTTGAAGGTAAATTTTATTGAAATTCAAAGTAAAAACTAAATAATTGAACTAATATAGTATCTAATATAATATGTACTTATTATATAAATGTATTTAGAAAATGCTCCTATTATAAAAATAGCGGATTTACAACAGCTAACATTTCAATAAGAGAAGAAAAAATCGAAAAACTAAAAGAAAAATTGAATACTATATTTTCAGATGAAGGATGTTGGGATGTCGATGAAATTTTTCAACCTAACCTCACGACAATTCACCAGATGTATTAGACACTGATTCTTGAGAAGTATTGAATTAATTTGCAAATCATTATTTTCATTTAACACACTATAGCTGTGCTCATTTTTAATATTAGTGACCAATGGACTAAAGTTAAATAAGAAGGTTTATGAAAAAATTAGGTGATTATACAATTATTTTGTTGTCATGATTATTAGTTGCTTTTATAATTAGTACATACTTCAGGTGAGTTAGAAGTTGAGGTATTACTTTTTTGTGATATGTTGGTTGCATTTAAATCATCTTCGAAGAGTTCTACTTGAGGTTGTGCTTGTACCTGTAAAACGATCAACATCAAACATGAGTTCAGTTTAAGACATTATTACTAATTTACATTTTTTTTATGATTTTATTATTATTTTATATCAATATTATAATGTAATTAATAATTTAATATGTTAAGTTACTTCTCAAATAATAATTTTAGTGTTATGGATAATTACATTAGATGCTGCTAACAAAAAACTTAATCCAATAGGAATCGCATCTTTAACAAGCCTGGGCTTTTTCAAACATATCTGAAAATATGAATTTGTAAAAGTATGGGTATCCTTCACGAAGCTAGGTATATAATAAAAATATAATTAAATAATATTATTTTATTTACTGTATACTTACTAAATCCTGTACCAGATTCCCAAGTATCAACTACATCCTCTTTCTTAAAATGGTAACGACATACTTTAGAGTTAGTTTGAAAACTAACATCTAATATTTTTTCCCACTCATCCCTTAAAGGAGAAGTTTTAGGAACTCCAAACAGACTAATTTTTAAATCGACATTTTAAAAGGACACAAAGGTTTACAACACGCCATTTTTATTTTATGAAAAATTAACAAAATTATTGTTGATTTTTAAACTATATACAGTAAAATATCAAGAAATAATTTATTAAGACTATCTTAAATTGTAATATTCAGTTTTAGGCGGGTAAAAGTAATCTGCATATTCTTTATTTTCTCCGCTAAAAGCGCTGTAGTCTTAAAAACAGCTGATTGCAAGATTTATTTTGATGGTCGTTCGATAAGCTATTTTACCGTAGTCGATGGGCAACCATACAAGATTTTCAAGAAAGAATTTGGAGTGTATCGGTACGTATCGGGTCAATTTTTAGCGTTCAAGATGTTACACGTGCAATATACAAGCGATACCTACCGTTCCGTATCGGACTCGGACTCCGATACGAGGTGGTACGTAACTATTTCGTATCGATACGTATCGAATTTTTCTTCTTGAAAATCTTGATACTATCTTAAATCGTGGTACCTGTAGAGAACCTAGCCGTCTAATCTATACATCGTGATAATGACATAATAATAATATTCTGTGATAAGCATCCAGGAGCGCGATAATAAATTATTATATCATGGTATTCTTCAATCTCCCTCCAGTTCATGGACTTTCAAAAATAATCGTCTAGCTGATGGTACTATGTACTTCAGCAGATGAGTGCTCTTCAGCAATCCCCATAGGCATTCATTGTTCTATTATTCATCAATGCTGATATGATGATTAGTATATCTAGTATTTACTTTGTACTTTTGTGGAAATTAAAGGATCTTTGTTCCATTAGAATATAACATAATAAAAAATACTGAAATATCTATTCAACAATGGAGAACACTAACGTTGTTCAAAACGTGAGTTTGGTCACGATTGACCATTACATGAGTAATCCCGCCGAAGGTTTCGATTCTATGTACTCTGAATTTTGGGGAACGCAGATACTTAAGGTTCCTGTTCTCAGAGTGTTTGGATGTACTCCAAGCGGTAACTATACGGATTATGTATTTATATGTTTAAAAAATTAAACCTATTTGCCAATAGTTTATTTGGTTTATCCTTTATATATTAATATTTTAGAGTGCTGGACAAATTCTAAAAAGATTCATTACTTATTGTTCAATGTTTAGGTGAAAAGTGCTGTCTACACATCCATGGAGTCTTTCCTTATATATTTATTCCATTAGAAGAATCATACGAAACCAGAAATCAAGAGATCTTATACAATTTGGGAAGTAGTCTTGATAAAGCGTTGTGCCTGGCAATTGGATCCACAAATTCAAAATCTAAGCATATTCATAATATTATTACAGTATGTGGAAAGTAAGTTCAATAATTCCTGTATAAGCCCACTAATATATTTCAAAAATTAATATTTATAGATCGTTTTATGGCTACCATAGTGAGAATACTAAATTTTTAAAAATTCTTTTCTACAACCCATATTCGGCTAAAATTGCTGTTGATTTATTACAAGTAAATATAAAGTAATATATTTGTATAATTTGAGCACCTATCACTTATACATTATATTCTATACTTAGCAGTAAACAAAATACTTTTTTCTAGATATTGTGATATTAAGATTTTTATTTTTAGAATGGAGCCGTGTGTAACACAATATTTCAGCCACACGAAGCACATATACCGTATCATTTACAATTTATGATAGATTATAATCTTCATGGAATGAATTATATAAAACTATCTGCTGTCAAGTATAGGAATTCTGTTGAACAAGGGTAAGTTAGGGAAAAAATATTTGTTGGTCAATTATTTTTTCTATAGTTCTTACCAATAGATTTAGTATTGATTTTTAATATCAATATTCAATAGTATACATTTTTTTTTCAATCTAGAGATAATAGTTAATTTAAATTTCTAGGTTTCAATTGGAAACATTTTAAATTCAAATAAAGTACTTCTTAGCTGTTTGTACCAATTCAAACACTAACTAGTTGGCTTTTGTTGAATGGAGGTTTTGCTTAATTTTTTTTTTTTATTCTTTTATTTATTTAATCATTTATATTTGTAGGCTTTCAAAAACTAGTCGATGTACTAATGAAATGGATGTGCAAGCTATCCACATCTTAAATCCTATATTGATAAATGGTATAAACATTTTTTCCTGCCAAAACTTAATAAACATAATTATTTATATTTTTGGTTCAATATTTATAGGGGAATTGGAAAATTCTGGTTTAGTCAATATTCGGGAACAAATAAATAAATTATCTACAGACTTGAACATAACAAGGAAAGGACTTGAAGTATTCAGTGGAGAAAGGAAATTAACTGTTCCATCGAGTACCGAAATTAAGTTTGGAATTGAACTAAAAAAGAAAATGAAAGAAATAAAAGTAATTGTTCAATGTTTTAAAATTTAGATCATAATCTATTCATTTTAATTATTTTTTAAAATGGTTTTATTTGCTTGGAAAATATCCAATCCATCTCAGTTTAATATAAATTCTAATTAATTTAAAAATAATACATAGGTAATTTTATAGCAGCATAAATTGGAGTTTATAAAAAATTATATTCACCTTGGCATGTCTATTAAAATTTTAAAATTGTTCATAGTAGTTGCTGTATAAAATATGCATTTTTATACTTAAGTATGAATTATTTAAAACATTTGTGTTTTACAGAAAAAAAATGTAACGAAAAAAACATTGACAGAGCTAGATATATCTGTGAATGAAGAGTTAGTAATTAATTTATCACAAGTTTTCCAGTCTCAAACCTCTTGTAAGTTATAAATTATATCTATTTTAAACCTATAAATGTATTAATATATTCTATATTATGTGTAGTATTATTGAGTATACCCAACTTCCCCGCAAAACACCATATTTGATAAAAAATACATAATTTATTGTGGTTTTAAGTATTCATTTCATAAATGCTTATCAATAACATCAAGCATTTTGTGTTAGAAATTCAGAAGTTATCAATTATTTGCATGTTTTCCTATTTTATTTTATTTTTCTATCAATGATGAATTAACTGAATTTCAAAATATACTTATATCCTATAGGGGATAGTCAAAGCATTGATTTAATGAATTTATTAATGAAGGAAACCATTTCTTCTAATAATGAAGATAGTATTCTCTGTCACGACATTTCTAATGAAGATGGAAACGATTCTGAAAATGAAGAATTGTCTGCATCTATGATGGAGTTAAATGAAAAGTATTTTACATTAATTCAACTACTACTTAACAATATTATTACTCGTATATTAGTTCTCATTCATTATTAATTACCATTTTCTATGTTATAGTTTATCTCAAAATTCAGAAAATACTAATATTTCAAATCAAACTCAGATAAAGGATTTATCAATTAAGTCCAATTTTGATGTGGATAATATCAGTTTACATTCATCCGATAATGATCAGTTAATATCAGTTTATAATATTGTTAAATTATAATTATATAGACTATTGTAAATTTTTCAGAACATTTATAGTAAATAATTATGACGAAGAAACAAACAGTAATCAAACAAGTGATATGTTTCGTAGTTCAAATAGTTCTGTCGAAATGTGTGAAAATAACACAATAAATTATGAATCTTTCACTGATGTTGATAATAATACTAGTATTTCAAGTACATTGTGGACATTAAGTTTTAAACCTCCTTCATATGATGACTCTTTGAATTTCATTGATACATTTAAAAACACTCGATACAATAAACAATTTCATTTTCAACATAATAATGTCATCGAAAATATTAGAAAGGATCAACTGTCATTAAGTTTTCCTGTTAGTAACGATATACATTTTTTTGCTTCTGAGAGCATTATAATTTTAGAACCATTAAAGCAACCACCATCATATTTAATGGCTTTAAAATGGTTAGAAACGCGTTATCCAAGATATAAACGTAAAAAAAAAAATGAAGAAAGTATTAAACTTAAAGGTCTTATAACTCCAGATTCGCTTTCAAAATCAATATTGTTGAAAAACATCAATCGTGTAACACCAAATTCTAGTCAAAACAAATTCTATACCTCTTCACCTTATACACCAATGCAAGTAGTGAATAAATGCTCAAAATCAAAAAGAAAACTTAGCACTCTTTTTCTGGATTCATTAAATGTGAGAAAATACACAATACTATTGTCCAAATAAAGTTATTCAAAACACATTAATACATAAAAAAAATATTCTGTTTTAGGCAGATACAAGTAATGATTCCAGAACAGAATTTTTTAATTCACTTAGAACTACCAACAGTTCAGATAGTAATATTTTAGATGGTATACATATTGGTGAAAGTTCCCATAACTTTTGTATTGATTCAGATGGTGCAAAAAATGTATTTTATTTTAATTGTTATTAATTCATGGAATTACGACTAAAAATATGACTAATTTTTATCTAGAGCGACAATCTTACTATTATAACAATGGAATTACACACACAAACTAGAATTAATTTGAATCCAGATCCAGAATATGATTGTATACAAGGCATTTTTTATACTGTTTTGAATATGTCAGAAAATTTGTTAAGAACTGGTAAATATATGAATTTAAGATTTGATTTATTTTAATTATTTTTCAATGTATTATTTACATTTAAATTTATCAGGTTCTATTTTGGTGAATCAAATAAATAACAATTTTAATGGTTTTTCAAATTTTAAACCAGAGATTATTGTTTGTAATGATGAAATTGAGTTAGTAAATACATTTTTTCAGTTGGTAATCAATTGGGATCCTGAAGTTATTTGTGGCTATGAAGTGAGAATAATTAAGAATATAAGAATATACAAACATTTTTTGAATTTTGTTTTATGTAGCTTGAATGAATACTGATTTATCAATAACATTATTGTTTTGTCACTAATGTTAGATGGAAATGCATTCTTGGGGTTATTTGAGAGATAGATGTCGTCATTTAGGACGTAATATGATTAAAGAATTATCTAGACTAATTACGGAAAATGAACAAACCTCCGAGTATAATGAAGAAATTACAAAT